GCGCTGGACTCCCACATGACTGACTGTGGTTCGAGTCCCAGACCTGGTGGCTTGCTTTTTCATTCTCCCTCTATCTCTCTCTCTTTCTCTGGTGAGCTCATGTACCCTACAGCAAATTTAAGAAAAATAATAATAAATAAATAATTCTTAAAAATAATAGAGAAAAATGAACTCCAAATGAATTAAAGACACAAATATAAAACCTGAAACTATGACGTTACAACAAGAAAATCTAGAGGGAGCACTTCAGGACACTAGTACAGGTAATGAGTTCATGAATAAAACCTTAAAAACGCAAGCAACAAAGCAAAAACAGAAAAATGGAACTGCATCAAACTAGAAAGCAAACAATCAAAAGAGTGAAAAGATAACCTGCAGAATGGTAGAAAATATTTGTGTAACAACCATCTGATAAGTATTAATAACCAAAATATTTGAGATTCTACTCAATGGCAAGAAAACAAACAACACAATTAATAAATGGGCAAATGACCTAAATAAACAGTTCTCAAAAGAAGATATAAAATGGCCAATAAACATGAAAAAATGTTCAACATCACTAATAATTACAGAGATGCAGATTAAAACTACAATGACATTATCATCTCATCCCAGTTAGGGGAAAAAAGTATGTGAGGATGTAGAAAAGGGTCAGTCATTTAAACTTTTGGTGAGAATGTAAATTAGTAGTCATGGAAAACAGTATGAAGGTTCCTTGAAAAACTATGAACAGAACTTCTGTATGACCCAATAATCCTACTAGTAATGTGTGTGTGTGTGTGTATACATATGTGTGTGTGTGTGTATACAGGAATATATTCATTATAAAGTAAAGTAAATCAGTATGTTACAAAGATATCTGCACCCAAATGTTGACTGCAGCACTACTCACAATAGCCAAGATATGGTAGCAATCTAAGTGTTCAACTGACAAAATGATAAAGAAAATGTAGTCTACATATACAATGGAAAACTAGCTATTAAAAAGAATGAAATGCTGTCTTTTGATGTTCAGTGGGAAGCCTGGAAGACATCATTATGTTAAATGAAATAAGCCAGAAACTGAAAGAAAACACCACGTATTCTACCTCATACGAGGAAATTAAAACATAAACTTAAACAAAACAAAACAAAGGCCTCATAGAGCAAGAGGGATGAAGAATAGAGGCTGGGAAAGACGGGATAGGGATGAAAACAGGGATATTGATTAATGAAAAAAGAATTGCTTAAAGAGAGAGGGAACAGTTTCTAGTGTTATAAAATACATAAGGAATGTATTAATAGATGGCAACAACTTTCTATGTATCTGTATTATTAGATAGGACAACTTACTGTGAATCTCCAAGTAACTAAGAGATGATTTTGTTTTTTTGGAGAAGTTTTTGCTATAGGGCGCGTGCGCTCGCCAGACAGACAGAGAGAGACATAGAGACAGAAAGCGAGAAATCACCCCCCAGGGGGGATGGTCACGCCACAATCCCTTCTCCTCCATTCTCCTCTCGGGATCTTGGGCACGCATGCACACGCGCCTGGTGTGAGTTTTAAGCCACCGGGTCCAGGATACGAACCGCGGTCAACTACGTGGGAGTCCAGCGACATAGCCATTACGCTAACTACTGGTTCCCAGGGCACAGCTTTCTTAAAGGATGTATATGTGGGGGTTTTTTAAGGTTTTTGTCTTAGGGTGTGTACACTTGCTGGAAAGAGACAGATGGAAAGTGAGAAATTACCCCCCTGTGAGGGATGGCCACGCTGCAATCCCTTCTCCTCCATTCTCCTCTCAGGATTTTGGGCACGCACGCACATGTACCTGGCATTATTTTCAAGCCCCCAGGGCCAGGCCATTTGGAAGTCTAGTGCCTTAACCACCATGCCATCTGCTGGCCTCCATAATCCTACCTTTATTATTTATTTATTTATTTATTTAGGAGAGATTTTTGCTATAGGGCATGTGCGCTCACCAGAAAGACAGAGAGAGACAGAGAGACAGAAAGTGAAAAATCACCCTCCGGGGGGAATGGCCACATCGCAATCCCTTCTCCTCCATTCTCCTCTTGGGATCTGAGGCACCCACACACACGCACCTGGTGTGAGTTTAAGCCACCTGGTCCGGGACTCAAACCACTGTTGACTACGTGGGAGTCCAGCCACATAGCCATTACGCTAACTGCTGGTCTCAATGATCCCATCTTTAAATGCATGTTTGTGTGTGTGTGCGTGTGTGTGTATACAATATGCATATAGTTTGTTCAATATGTATGTTTTTCTGATTAGCAACAGAAAACCTTGCTGATGTAAAATATGTCAATAGTTAGAAATGAGATGAGTGAGAACCCCCAGGTTATACCCAACCACCCCCATGTTTACGCTGGTTTCTGGTAGCGGGATTACACCTCTATCATCTGTATTTACTGAACTTACTGCAGTTAACATGTAACACTTTGACAGTTAAAAAAATTGGTAAAATTATACTGTTATAAACTGGCTAATTATGTCATGGGAGTGAGCCTATCTCCCCGGCTGGACTACAGAGAAAGGCCAATGAAAGTACAGAATGAAGTCCAAGAAGCCTGAGCAGTGACACTGTGTGCCCCGGCAGGTGTTCATAAAACCCCCTGGGTTGAGGAATGACGCTTCGACGCCACTTGAGAACCTGAACAGGGTCACCCCACCTTACAGAGCAGAGGAGTAGGTCTCGAGGTCACAGGGGAGCTACGGCAGCCCCCTCCGCTCAGCTCTCAGGGGGGGAGGCAGAGTGCAGGAAGGGTAGGAGGACGCGCCTGTGCTCACCCAGCTGGAGGTGGCTGAGCCCGGGTTTGAACCATGAGCTGTCCCACTCCAGAGCCCATGTCTTGACCACCCCTGGGCTGGCGCCAAATCAGACTGCATGGCCCTGCCCAGCGTGGAGCCGGCTGTGGCCCTCGGAACCTGCCAGCAGTTCTAGCCAGGTCGCAGTGCTGACACAGCCTCTGGGTATTAATAGCTTCGGTCTGAACTGGGCTCCTTGGCCTTCCCGAGGCCAGCCTGGGTCATGGGCCCCCTCAGGAAGGGCACAGAGCTGAGTACACACGCCCAGGTCGGAGGGTCTGAGAGCTCTGAGTCCAAAGGCCCTCGTATCCCCACTCCAGGGACTTAGGGGTTGGGTCTCCCCTCTGCACATTCCTGACCGAGGCCCTGACTTCTGCAAGGCTCGGCGTCCCCATCCATCAAGTGCCATTTCCACTTCCCAGGAACATGGCCACGTGTGGTCAGTGAGCTAAACATGGAGGGCTCCACGCACTGCCCAGGGTCTGTGTGTTACACGAGTGTGTTCGTGTGCATCTACATTCAACTGCCTGGAGTCCAGGCCGACACCGCACGCCATCGCTGCTACACCCAGAGGGCGTGCAGCCTGGGACCCCCCACCGTGCCCACGCGGTTTGAAGGCCACCCTGGAAGGAGAGGAGGAACCAGGCAGGCCCCAGGCTGAGGGCTCCTGCACTGTGGCCTTGCCTAGCAGACCATGAGGGTGGCCCTCTGCGTGGCACTCAGAACACAGAGGACTGCGCCTGATTTGTCAGATGGGATCAGCTCCTGGCCCCAAGGGTTGAAGGCTCGCTAGTGGCAGGGTCCCCGCTCAGCTTCTTACAAACATCATCCCATTGACCCTCACAACAACCCTAAGGGACAGACACGGGGGGGAGGGAGAGGGAATGAGGCTCAGAGAGGCTGAGGGACTTGCTCAAGGGCTCACAGCTATTTGGGGGTGGAGCTGTGACAGGCAGAGCCAGCCGAGCCATCTTCACTCTGGAGGCCGTGGCTGGCCCCCCTGGGTGGCCCCCATGGGCAGCTTCCCAGCCTGGGAGGCTCTGGCTCTGGTGCAGCTGTAGGGGGTGGGGGCTTTGTGGCAGGTTCCAGGTTAGAAGGCTCGGCCTCCTGCCTCCACCTGGGCCAGGTAGGCAAGGCCTGACCACCTGGAATTGTGAGACCAGGAGACCACTTCTGCCTCTCCGGGCCAGCCTGTACGAGCAGCCCTCTCCCGAGCCCAGGCCCGGGCTGCCCTGAAAGGGCCGTGGAGACTTGGGGTTCCCAAAAGTCACCCGGGCCAGGACAGGAAGGACTGCCTCAAATCTGATCCTCAGCAGGCCTCCGGTCTGCCTTGTCTGGGTTTGCGGCCTCTCTTCCCCCTTCACCCTGTCCACACAGCGCATGGCCCCCTGTCCTTCGGGGAAGACGCCCCTGCCGGGGCCTCCCTCCTGCCCTGCCTTCCCGAAGAGCAACCTCCATGACCCCAAGACCAGACTCACAGCCTGGTGCCGGGACCCCAGTGCGTGCCCCTCGTGCTCCTTCACACGTGGCATTCCTTCCATCCCCAGGGAACCTGAGCCTCCCAGAGCTAGGGTTGGGGTCAGGGCTGGGGTGGGTGTGCCCGCAGGATACGCCTGCACCTGCACCGTGGCAGGCACTCGGCAGCTATTTGTGGGCAGCTGAAGCCACCGTGGCATCCCTGCCCTTGGCCAAACTCTGGGCTCTGGAGGCCACCTTGGGGGGGAGTCCATTAGCGGCCCTCAGTGCCCCTCCCTCTAGTGGGTGGCCTGGGAGGGACTGAAGCCAAATTCAGGACTGATTGAAAAACCCGCCAGCCTGCAGCTTAATGAAAGGCTGTCACGGAGGGAGGAGCCGGCCTGGCCCAAGAGACCCAAGATGATGCCCCCATTGACGTCAGTAACTCCATCTGGTGCTCGGAGAGGCCTCTGGCCTGGGCTCCGGCGTCCAGTCCTGGGGAGCAGGTCTCCACCGCCCAGGCAGGGGGGCCGCTCGCTGGGGCTGGAGGCAGTCAAGGAGGGGCGAGTCCAGGGCCCTCTCAGCCCGGGGGCAGGGCCCGAGGCCACCGCCGAGCGGGGGACTACATTTCCCAGAGTCCCCCGAAGCCCGGCCGAGCCATTGGCAGATTTAAATAGCCCAGGCCTGAGGCAGCCAGGCCGCAGCTGAGCACTCGCTGCCTCCCGGCTGCCCCCGGGCGGCTCCGTGGGCGCTGGCCCCGCCTTGGTGGGCTCGATTGGCGGCCCAGCTGCCCCTGCCGTCCCTGTCCCCGTCCCCGTGGTGGCAGCGCGAGGTAAACAGCCATGTGCAACCCTCCACTCTATATTTAACAGCTGCCGCGGAGAAGGCAGCGAGGCAGGCGAGGGCGGCTCTCGGGGCGACTCTCGTCCTCGGAGAGAAGGCCCCTGGAGCCGGGCTGTGCGAGGTCACCATGCCAGCTTCCCAGAGCCGGGCCCGCGCCCGGGACCGCAACAACGTCCTCAACCGGGCCGAGTTCCTGTCCCTGAACCAGCCCCCCAAGGGGACCTCGGAGCCCCGCAGCTCTGGCAGGAAGGCCTCAGGCCCCTCGACGCAGCCCCCACCCACGAGCGACGGGACCCGAGAGCGAGAGCGGCGCCAATCCCAGCAGCTGCCCGAGGAGGACTGCATGCAGCTGAACCCCTCCTTCAAGGGCATCGCCTTCAACTCCCTGCTGGCCATTGACATCTGCATGTCCAAGCGGCTGGGGGTGTGCGCCGGCCGGGCGGCGTCCTGGGCCAGCGCCCGCTCCATGGTCAAGCTCATCGGCATCACAGGCCACGGAGTCCCCTGGATCGGGGGCACCATCCTCTGCCTGGCCAAGAGCAGCACGCTGGCCGGCCAGGAGGTGCTCATGAACCTGCTCCTGGGTGAGTGCTCACGTGGCCCCCACGGGCTGCCTCGGGCCTGATGGGCCAGCGGGGCCTCGGAAACTGCCTGCAACTGTCTAATGAGGTTAAGCGGGAAGGCTGCCCCAGAAACCGGCAAGCCTGGGGCTTGGGGCTGCACAGACAGGCCCCCTGCAAAGCATGGGCTGCATGGGGGAGTGGAAAGCTCCCAGGAGGGGCCTGCTCACCCCAAGTGCGCCATTCACAGTGGTGGCTGAGAGGGAGGCTGTGGCCTCGAGGGGCCTGGAGGGCACCCTGCAGCCGGTGTCCCTGACTCCCACCCACAGCTGGAGGCCTGGCTCCTTGGTCTCACAGTAAGCACTTGTGAGCTGCCCCCACAAGCCTCTCTGCCCCCTCCTGACTTGGTTCAGGGACCCTGCAAACGGTCCAGGATTCTCCCAGGGTTTGGGGGCTCAGGCCATCTGGTTTGGTACCCCCATCCACTTCCAGCCTTCTGGAGTCCTTACCTGTTCCTTCCCCAGGGCAGTCACTGGAGGGGAGGGAGAACGGACGTGGGGTGTTCTTCCCAAAGTCTTTGCCACCAGCGCCTTTGGTTCAGCTGCCCCGTGCCAGGTGCCACGTGGGACCTGGCAGAAGGCAAGCCTTTCCCTCCACCCAGCACCTCCAGATCCCCACAGTGCTGCGGGCACCTCTGCCTCCACCTCCATGCCAGGCTGTGTCAATGCCCTCGCCCTTACCGCAGGGGACAGGGGTCTCAGGTCCAAGGGGTGTGGGCGGACCCCTGAGAACTTCAGTCTGAGAGGGGTGACAGTGGGAAGGTGCTCTCTTCCAGGCTGTGGGGAGAAGCAGCAGCCGGGTACTGGGTGCAGGAGACACTGTTCTTGCTCCTACCTGAGCATTTCCATCGCTCACTCGCCGCCGTATCGTCGTATCGCAGACAGACGCCCACGAGGTTGCGCCGTTATCCCATTTTACAGACTAGCAAACCGAGGTTCCTGTAAATAAGCCTCTGAGCCTGAGATTCGCACCCAGTGCCTCAGCCCGCGCTCTTCCTGGGTGCAGCACTTGGGGCTCAGGGGAAGGACAGCGTCAGGCTGAGGCTCCGGGCTGGGCTTCCCAGGGCAGAAATCTGTGGTCACTGCAGATTCTCTGGTGCCCACTGCAGCCTCACACGTGGCCGTGGCACGGAGGTCTGGGAAAGTGTGTCCCGATCTGCACAGCCCTGCTCCCTGGACCCACTGCTCCTTCCCTCCCTCTCTCCTGCGCTCCTTCCTTCTTTCCGGTGTGATGTGGAGAAGCTGTGAGCTGTCGAGTGTCTGCTGTGAGCCAGGTTTTGCATGAACTGCATCATCATTTCTTTTTTTAAATTCAAGTTATTTTATTTATTTATTAAAAAACTTTTGCTATAGGGCACGTGTACTTACCGGAGAGAGACAGAGAAAGTGAGAGAGCAAGTCACCAGGTCCATGCCTCGGACCACGCTAAGCCATGTGGGAGTCCCACACCTTAACCCTCACCACCTGCCGGCCCCCATGTCGTCGCCATGTCGTCCCCACGAGCGTGGTGCTGTTCCGACTCCCCGTCGAAGGAGGAGGACACTGAAGCAGAGGCAATGATGTGGCCGAGGTCAGTGATGGAGCCAGGGTCAGAACTGGAAGCTCTGCTTTGCATTTTCCAGAGGCGGCCAAGAGGGAGCCACCAAGGCTGTCCCAAACCAGAGGGTCTGGTACCATCCCGTGCTCCTGCACTCCGCTCCCCAGCTGCCAAGACCCCAGAGACCTCAGAGGCAGAAGGGTTCTTAGCCACTGGCCCACGGGTACACTCCAGAGTTGCCAGACCTCATCTTGTCAAATGGGTTCTTGGGACACTTTACTGAAAGATTCCATGTGAAGTATGTGGCACTTCCTAAAAATGGTTAACTCTGTGTGCAGATGATTATGGGCCCAGCTACAGTGGCGTGCACTGGGGTCCCAGACTGGAGCTTCGGCAAGGTAAGGTTCAAAGACAAAAGGAGACTTCTCCGCTTTCCTGCAGTCAGTACTGGCTCCAGTAAGGGAGTGAGCTCCCCATGGTAGGGCGTAGCAAGCAAGCTGCCCGCTTCGCCAACTAAAATAACTCCACTTTGATCTGTTTTTCACACATGAACATTTGCTTCTAAAAGAGCTTCTTCTTGGGCAGCAGGTGGCACGGTGGGCAAGGCACTGGACTCCCACATGGCTGACTGTGGTTCGACTCCCGGACATGGTAGCTTGCTTTCTCACTTTTCCTCTCTGTCTCTCTCTCTGGTAAGTGCATGTACCCTATAACAAACTAAAAATAAATATAAACTAATTAATCAATTCAATTAAAAAGATAGCTTCCTCTGCCCCAGACATTCAAAAAGTTTCTGGCTCATTCCAGCAACCCACTGCCATGGGCACAAAGGTGTTTGTCCATGGGGCAAAGAACAAGATTCACGATTCCTTCTTTCTTGAATAAGAATGACAGCAGTGGGACCAGCAGGTGGCCTGGTGGCTAGGGCCCTGGACTCACACATGGCCGACTGTGGTGTGAGTCCTAGACCTGGCAGCTGGCTTTCTCGCTTTCGTTCTCTCTTTCTCTCTCTGGTGAGTGCACGTGCCCTATAGCAAATTTAAAATAATAAATAATAATAGATAAAATTTAATTTTAAAAAGTGTTAATAAAACTGGGTGACAGCAGCTCTGTGCCAGCCGGTGGTGTGGTGAAGGCGCTAGCTCCCACGTGGCCGACTGCACACTGTCTCAGACCGGCAGCTTGAAATACACAAGCACTTGTGCGTGCATGCCACAATCCTGAGAGGAGATGGGAGAAGGGATTGCAGCGTGGCCACCCCTCAGGGGATGCTTTCTCACTTTCCCCTCTCTCTGTCTCTGTCTCTCCAGTGAGCGCATGTGCCCTATAGAAAATATAAAAAGAAAAAGAAAAAAAAGCCAGCAGCCGCTTACATTTTTAAAACATCACTTACCGAGCTTCATTCTATACCAAACACCATGCCGTGAACATCCACATGTTTTGGTGTAAAAGCCTTCTGGTGCCCATTCGAATACGTGCACCGTGAGAGTGAGCTGAAGCTCAGAAGGTTCAAGCAGCTTGCCCACCCACACGCTGTGAGTGGTCCGGAGCCAAGGCCAAGGCCTCCTGACTGCACGCCCTGCGCCTCGCGCCTCACCGCTCGCCGTGGCCTGCAGGTCAGTGTACACCTGGATGTTGACTCTGCCCCGTGTGCGGGTGAAGGCCTAGAAGGAGTTCTTCCCTCTGCATCAGACAAGAACATGGGGAGAGCAGGCCGGGGGCAAAGCAGCCTCCGGTCACTCAGCAGGCAGGACGGGCCTGAGGTCCCCAGGACGTGGGCCCTACCACTCAGCCTTGGGGAGAAAGCTGCAGCAAGTAGCCAAGGAGACACTGGTCTGGCAGCCCTGGCCTGACCTGCAGCAGGGACTACGGCACTGTCCTCCACCTGGGGCAACAGACTGTCCACTGAGCACAGGCGGCAGAGTCTCCTCTGTTCTTGAGTCTTCGGAGGCATCGTTGAACCCGGGGCGCGGGCCCTGGGATCGGACTAGGCCTTGTCCAGGCCCCACCCTGACTCTCGCTCACTGTGCAGACATGGACAAGTCAGCTGCCGCCTCTGAGCCTCAGTCTCCAAGCCTGTGCAATGGGGCTGTGGGGCTGTGGGAAGGCTTTGGAAGGAGCTGGTAAGGCCCTCGGCACAGTGGGTGGCTGACGTCCCTGTCATGGGAACTGTAGGTCCTGGAGAGGTGAAGGAGCCCTGCCCAGCCCTGGCCACCCACTGAGGGCCCCGGAGCATCCCGCTGATGCCAGGGCCGGTCTCGGGGCTGCATGGGCAGCACCTGGGCTCCTCTTAGCCTTAAGGAGCAGACTTGGAAGCCTCGGGAAGTCAGCCTCTGGGCCTGGGGGTCAGTTAGGCCAGGTGTTCTCTGCTCAGCTCCCTTCATGGCAGGAATCGTGTGCTCCTGCACTCCGCTCCCCAGCTGCCAAGGCCTCAGAACCTCAGAGCCAGAAGGACTTACAGCCACTGGCCAAAGGATGCACTCCAGAGTCGCCAGACCTCGTCTGTCAGCTGGGTCGCTGGGACACCGCACTGAAGGATTCCATGTGAAGGATGTGGCATTTACTAAAAATGCTTAACTGCGTGACAGTGATTGTGGGCCCAGCTTCAGTGGCACGCACTGCTAAGACGCTGTGCTCTGTAGGCCGGCATTATTCCGGAGGTCTGGGTTTGAGTCCCAGTCTGGCCTGAAGGCCGGGTGTGGTGGTGTGCCCCTGCAACCTCGGCAGTTCGGGAGGCTGAGGCAGGAGGTGGGGACTCGAGGTTGGCCAGGGCAGCGTAACAAGACCCTGTCTAAAAGAGCTGGGCATGGTGGCATGTGCTTGTGGTCCCAGCTGGGAGGTTGAGGCAGGAGGACAAGGACCATGTCTATAAAATGACAGCGGCAACCCCAGCATCGCCGCCGCACGATTATCAGAAGTCCTGCTGGTCCCCTGCAAGCTCAGAGACCTGCGAGACAGGGCACCCTCTCCCTTCCTCGCCCCCACCCCATGCAGCACTGAGCTCGGTGGTCCCAGGGACAGGTCACTCACTCACTCATTCAGCCAAGTGGACACTCAGTGCCCTCCCACCAGCCCGTCCTTGTTTCCTCAGAGGCCTCCCTGGGGGAAGCGACCTCTCTGCCTGTTGCCATCATCTACGGCTTTCTGGAATTTTCCTGGCTATGAAAACGATCACTTTTATTTCATTCTTTATTGCACTGAAATAGACATGACGTGGGAGTTACCGTTTCTGTCCTTCTAAGTAGACAGTCCAGTGGTCTGTGGCTGTCACCACCGTCCATCTCCAGGACTCATTCCTCCTGAAGCATAAACTCTGTTTCCCTGCCCGGCCCCTGGTCACCACCATCCCGCCTCCTGCCTCTGTGGACGTGACCCCTCTAGGTCCCTCATAGAAGGGAATCCTCCGGTATTTGTCCTCTCGTGACGCC